TCTCTCTCTCTCTCTCTCTCTCTCTCTCTCTCTCTCTCTCTCTCTCTCTTTCTCTCTCTCTCTGCCCTTCCCATATAAAGGGAACTACTAAAGGTAAAGGTACAGTTTACTTGATTTTACCTCAAAAATGAAATAGGTTTTCTCATTGAAGATAAGAGGAAAAGAAAGAAATCCATTCAAGTTTTTTGGCAAGGTGGGATGAAAACAGCAATTATAAAGTATTGTTCACATGACTGTTCTCTATAGCAACAGGGTGGCCATGATGTCATCCGATCTGGAGCAATTGGCCAGCTCCAGCAGTTGTTTTCTCAAGCTAAACCTGAGGTATTGGGAAGGCTCACACCTTGGTCCTTACTATCCAAAACCACGGAGCGGCTTCCCTGTGCAGAAGCCCACATCCGTGACAAAAGCACAGATGTCTCGGGTGCAATAATTCTTTTGAGGAAGTGCAGCTATTTAATCTAGAAAATACTGAAATAAGATGGCAGCGTAAGAAGCTCCAAAATCCCATTCCCATAGAAAAGCAGTGCAAGATGGGTAATACTGTCAGAAACAGGTTTATTGGAATTGCAGAAACTAATCAAAGCTTTATACCAGTCAGAAAAATCAAGAGGGAATGAAGAGCTGAACTTCAGTAAAAGAACTTTGTGGTGCAGCCCCAGAGAAGCTAGTAATAAGGAGGACCCTAAGAGGTACACACATGGAGGTCCCCAGGAAGGGGAAATAGTTAAGATCTCCTGGGTAAACTGGGGGTGGGAGTAGAAGGGAAGGGATGGGGGATGTGAACATGAGGGACTGGGGTGGCTGAGTGAAGGGAGGGACGGAGAGGGACAGCAATGAAAGAGACATCTTGGTAGAGGGAACCATTGGGAGGTTAGGGAGAAACCTGGTGCTAGGGAAATCCCCAGGAATCCACAAGGATGACACCAGCTAAGACTCCTAGCAATAATGGAGAGGGTGCCTGAACTTGCCTTCCCCTATAATTAAATTAGTGACTACCTAATTGTCATCATAGAACCTACATCCAGTAACTGATGAAAGCAGATGCAGTGATCCACAGCCAAGCACTGGGCTGAGATCCTAGACTTCAGTTGAAGAGAGGGCAGAGGGATCACAGGAGCAAGTGAGGTCAAGATCATAATGGGGAAAATCACAGAGACAGATGACCCAAGGTGGTGGGAGGTCATGGGCTCCGGCCTGTCAGCTAGGGAACATGCATGGGACCAAACTAGGCCCTCTGAATGTGGGTGACAGTTATGTGGCTAAATCTGTTTGGGGAGCCCCTGGCAGTGGGACCAGGACTTATCCCAGGTGCATGAAATGGTTTTTTGGAACACATTCCCTAGGGTGGGGTACCTTGCTCAGCCTTGGCAGAGGGGAGAGGGGCTTGGTCCTGCCTCAACTGAGTATGCCAGACTTTGTTGACTCCTCAAGGGAGGCCTTACCCTTACTGACCAGTGGATGAGGGTGGGATTGGTGGAGGTGGGGGCCAGGAGAAGGGGAGGGAGGGGGAACTGGGATTGGTATGTAAAATGAAAAAAACAAACAAACTTTTTTTTAAATAAATAAAAAAGAACTCAGTGATGTCTCATCTAATGACAGGCCCACCCCCGCCTCTGAGGTAACCTTAAAGAAACCAGTACATATTCCCTGACAGTGTTCCTACTCCTAAAAGTAGCAGAACAGACTATATTTTTAAGGATCTATGATTACTGATTCTACCATTCTGGTGACTCTTTGAAGAACCAGCTCAAAGGGTTTGCATTTATTTTCCCTAATTCAGAACACTTCCAAAGATGAAATGTCTATTTTAGGGACATTCATTGAAAATGTGTAAAGGCAAATATTTTTATCTACTAATGCCTGAGGTGTGGAACATCCATTAAGGTTTAAAAAAAATAGACGGCATCGATCGAGAGGAAACCCTGGAGAATAAGGTGTTCTGAGGAAGAAGACCCTGGTAAAGCTTCAGCCAGTTTCTGAAATCCATAATGCACGCACAGATCTGAGGACATTGTTGAGCATGGCAGCACAAATGTTTAGTCCCACCCCTCCAAGCAGAAGCTGGTGGATCCCTGTGAGGTTGAAGCCAGCATGCTCTACATAGCAGAGTTCCTGGCCAGCCAGGGATACCTAGTGAGACCCTGACTAGAATAAAAATATAAATAAAAAGACCAAGATGACCCTAAGCTCTCACTTCTGACTGACCCTTAGGTGCAGAAAGTGAAACATATGCAGAAATGAAATCCAAGGAAAAGTTCAAAATTATGCAAATGAGTCTTTATGACGTGCCCACAACACACTTGGTCCATGAGAAAACAGTGGAGTATTTTGTTGATTTGATTTGATTTGGTTGCAAGTGTTGAATGAAATCTCGATTGACTCAGTTACTGAATATTAAACTACTGGAACATGCATTAAGGTGGCCACAGACAAAAAAAGAATATAGCCTGTTTCAGACTGGTTCAATAAAATGGCTGAACAACAACAACAAAAAAATCACCATACTTCATAGACAGAAGCAGAGTCTCATTTCCAGCTGCCAAAATGCCATAATGTCTGTTTGGGGCTTTGTTTTCCTTTTTTAAAGAAAAACATAT